AATAATTGTTCAATCAATATTAGTTACTGGAAACCACACAAAAAATAAATAAATAAAACAGACTTGACCTTTGACAACCTGTCAATAGAAAGTGAAATAAACAAACTTCATGTTGTGTTTTTTTAATATAATTGATTTAGATGATTGTAATTAATGATTAAATTAAAACTACAGACAGTCCTCAATTTTCAAATGAAAAATAAAACAAAATATGCAAACAAATAAATCCATAATAAATTAATAAAGTTCTTTTTTGATTGATTCAAATTATAGTTGTCAACATTATTAACTGAAAACCACAGTGTTGAATTTCATATTAATATAAAAAATAAAATGAAACAACACAGTATATAAAGTTAATCAGTTAATCAAAGTTTATTATTAAGCTATATATAACATAAATAAATAAACAGTAAACAAACTTCTGGTCTGCTGCAGTGGATCAGATGAGATTTATCAAATAAAAATAAAAACAAAAAGTTGGACTTTAAATACCTCAAACAGATTTACATACAACCTCCAAACGACCTGTGAACGTTCAGGATTATAAAACGTCTTTCTGTTTTCAGTCTGTGTGTGAAAGTTGTTTCCGCGAGTAAAAACTCTTCTGCGTGTGTACAAATAAATAAAAAAAACAATAAATATAATAACATGATTCATTCTGGAGGAGCAGAGCCAACAAACACGTCTCTGAGCTGTAACAGCTGTTCAGCAGTAACAACGACTCACTGTGACCACTGGAGGGCAGAACACCGACATACTCATGTTCCTGATGATGTCACGTTAAAACATGATGATGTCACAGTGACACTGACCTTTGACCTTTTGGATACAAAATTTCATCACTTCATTATTTTATCCTGTCAAACATTTGTGTCAAGTTTTGTCATAATTACTGAATGAATTATTGAGTTATGGACAAAAACATGGCTTGTAGGGTCACAGTTCATTCTTGCGTCCAAGTGGATGTTTGTGCCAAATTGGACGCAAGGTCACAGTGACCTTTGACCTCCAAAATTTAAACAGTTCATTGTTTGGCCCAAGTGAACATTTGTGCCAAGTTTGAAGAAAATTCCCTCTAGACGTTTCACGTGAATGGGACGGACTAGGTCACCATAACCTTGACTTTTGACCACCAAGGTCTATACAGTTCATTGTTGACTCCAAGTGGACATTTGTGCCAAAGCTGAAAAAAAAACAAAGGGAAAGAAATCCCTCAAGGCATCCTTGAGATATTGAATTCACAAAAATGAGACAGACCAGGTCACAGTGACCTTGACTACTAAAATCTGATCAGTTCATCCTTGAGTCCATGTGGATGTTTGTGCCAAATTTGAAGGAATTTCTCTAAGATGTTCTTGAGGTAACACATTCATAAGAACAAGATGAACAAGGTCACCATAACCTTGACCTTTAAAAACCAAAATCGAAACAGTTCACTGTAAGGATAGACCGATACATCGGCCGGCCGATATATCGGGCCGATATTTGACTTTTTTTACTTGTATCGGCATCGGCCGATATGCGTGTGGGTTCGCGGATTTATTTTTCCCTGGCATGATTTACAGACAGGCATCCACGGGCAGCTGTGTTGCCGGAAGACCCTGCAGCGCACATGCAGCGAATCCTACTGTGTACAGTAGTTGTTGTTTTATTTATGCTTCAGCTTAAATATTTGTTTATTTTATAAAGACATTACTGGAAGATTTAAGAGCACTGAACTCTTTTTTTTATTTGAATGTATAATAATAATAATAATAAAATTCTACCTGTTCTACCTCAACTTTCCATCTTGTTTTAGTATTTTTTACTGTTCAATAATTGTTTCTTATTTTAAACTTGAGACCTGTAATATTTGTTATCATTGTTTCATTTTTTTGATGTAAATTGAGGGAGCAAAAGCAGTATTGGCCCCAAATATCGGCTCAAGAAAATCGGCAGTCCATAATCGGTCATCGGCTAAGGGTGATGGAAAAAAATCGGTATCGGCATCGGCCCTAAAAAATCCATATCGGTCTATCCCTAGTTCACTGTTTAATCCAAGTGGACGTTTGTGCCAAATTTGAAAAAATTCCCTCAAGGTGTTCATGAGAATGAGATTGACATATGGATGGACACACAACCCAAAAACATAATGCCTCCAGCTTTAGAGGTGTAAAAGCAGGGAGTTTGGCAAGTTCCTGGACGGAGAGGCGTGTGTAGCCCCGTAAGCCTAACAGTTGAGGTTGTTGAGGTGTTTATTCTCATCACTGAACAATCCTTTTGAGAACGATTGGATCTGAGGACCAGATCAGACTCCATCACAACAGACCCCATCCAGTTTGGTCACATCATTCCAAACAGTCCAGGACAACAACCCGATCTCTGGCCTCTGGTCTACGGCGGGCACAGATGCGCGAAGGAGTTAAACTTCACCCCGTAGCCAAACCCAGGATACACAGGTTCGGTGAACGTGGTGTTGAAGGTGTGGAGGTGGATCAATGTGTCAGAGGAGACTCTGTAGAAGGACAGAGTCCCAGCAGGACAGTCCACATACACTGCTATTCTGTTAGAGGATGAAGGAAGAGGGATGAGCGTCCCACTGTTATTGTGCCAGGCGTTGTATCCTCCATCGGTGCAGCTCAGACACCAGGACCGGTCGTTCCCTCCGAATTTGGAGCTGTCGCGGTCTCCATTTCGTCCGATTGTCCTGTAGCTCACGGCGATATAAACCTTTCCCCCCCATTCCACCTCCCAGTAACAGCGACCGGTCAGGCCATCTTCACACAGCACCTGAGGCCAGTAGTCAAACCTTTCCGGGTGGTCAGGGTACGGGTGCTCCTTCCTCAGGTCTGTCACCTTTCTGTTGTTTTCAGACAGCTGGAGGAATTTGTGCGCCGTGTTTGGGTCCAGTGTGAGCTCACAGTAATCTGATGAAGGCAACAAGACACAGAGTTTAGATTATTATTGGCCAATCCAACCAGAACTACCACCACGTGGACGTCTGTGCCAAATTTAAGGAAATTCCCTCAAAGTGTTCTTGAGATGTTGCATTTACGAGAATGAGACAGATGTAAGGTCATAGTGACCTTGACCTTTGACAACCAAAATCTAATCAATTTATCATTGAGTCTGACTAGACATTTGTGCCAAATTTTAAGAAAATCTCTGATAGTGTTTTTGAGAAATCACGTTTATGAGAATGAGCCAAATGCAAGATCACAGTGACCTTTGACCACCAAATTCTAATCTGTTCCTTGTTGAATCCATGTGGAAGTTTGTGTCAAATCTGGGGAAACTCCCTCAAAGTGTTCTTGAGATATCATGCTCATGAGAATGTGATGGATGTGAGGTCACAGTGAACTTGAACTTTGACCACCAAAGTCTTAACAGTTCATTGATGAGCCCAACTGGACGTCTGTGCCAAATTTGAGGAAATTCCCTCAACGTGTTTTTGAAATATCACGTTTACAAGAATGAGCCAGATAAAAGATCACAGTGACTTTAAACTACAAAATTGTGATCAGTTCATCCTCGAGTTGGACTAGATGTTTGTGCCAAATTTAAAGAATTTCCCTTGAGGTGTTCTTGAGATATCTAATTTACCAGGATGAGACACGCCGACCTGATAACGTAACTCCTCCGGCTACACCTGTCGCAGATGTAGAGGCATAAAAAGAAAAATAACATCATAGTGAGTAGAAACAGATTACAGGTTAACAAACTTACACTTCCTCAAACCTGGTTCCAACCACTGGACTCCACCGGGCTCCACCCTGAAAGAGTTAAATAGGGTTATTGTTAGAGCTGCAGTGATTGGCCAAGTGATCTGTTTTTCCAATGGAAGAAAATCAATTGACGGTCACGGTCACACATGCATGAAATTATCATTGGCGAATATTTGGCTTCCATTCAATGCGAGCAAATGGGTGAATAACATTCACTTCCAGTGGCAAAACAAATTTGCATCTTTGCATCGTGTGGAGTTCAACTTTGGTGAATGCTGGCGGATAAAGGCTCAACCAATAGCAAAGGGTTCTGTGTGGTTGACGTGTCTTTACCTGAAGTTTTCTGAGCACAGCCGAGATGGAGGAGACGCTGAATGTTGCTGTGTTTAGGCAGCTGATGTCGTCTTATACTCGATATTAAAAATGCAAACTGCCCCACATGAGAGACGCTGCCTGACAGTGAGTCGAAAGACGGGCATGGAACGTCAGAACATGGACCATGTACCCGTAGGACCATATTTCACCACATGTATTAGCAAGCAGGGGCATGGGATTATGGGGTGCCAGGGTCGCTGCTACGAGCCATCCTGTCCCTTTATGAACACAGTGAGAGCTGTGTTCACATATGTAAAGTCAAACACGATTTCCGTGGGTGTTGGCCTCCACCAGGGATGTCCTTTGTCACCGATTCTGTTTGTGATATTTATGGTCAAGATCTCGAGGTGCACTCAGGGGGGATGAAGGGGTCCAGTTTGGGGATCTCAGACTTGGTTGTGGTTCTGTTGGCTTCATCACACATGCACTGGGGCGGTCTGAGTGTGAAGCGGTTGGGATGAGAGTCAGCACCTCCAAATCTGAGGCCATGGTTCTCTGCCGGAAACCGGTGGGTTGCTCCCTCCGGGTTGTGAGAGTTTTACTGCCTCAAGTGAGGGAGTTCAAGTATCTCAGGGTCTTGTTCATGAGTGAGGGAAGCATGGAGCGTGAGATGGATCTGCGGTTTGGTGCGGTGTGATGGAGCTGCGCCGGACCGTCGTGGTGACGAGGGAGCTGAGCCGGAAGATGAATCTTTCAATTTACTGGTCCATCTACGTTCCAACTCTGAGCTATGGTCATGAGCTCTGTGTAGTAACTGAAGGAAAGAAAGAATGAGGTTTAGCCTTAGAGATAGGGTAAGGTCTCTTCATACCTGAGAGTGTTCAGTCTCCAGTGTGGATCCTTCAGTCCAGCAGACAGCAGCGTCACTCCTGAGTCTCCTGGATGGTTGTAGCTCAGGTCCAGCTCTCTCAGATGGGAGGGGTTGGAGCTCAGAGCTGAGGCCAGAGAAGCACAGCCTTCCTCTGTGATCAGACAGCCTGACAGACTGTAAAGACAAATGACAAGTAGTCACATATAAAAAGCATATCATCGGCATATTGTTTTACCTAATGGTATGACTGGTACATAACTCCCTAACTTTTTCAGGCAGTGGGACAGGGACTGTGGTCGGGCAAAGACCGAGTCACGCTAATCCCTTGCACTGACACCTGGTTCTGGGGACGTGGAAAGTCGTCTCTTTGTTGGGGAGGGAACTGGAGCTGGTACCAGAGGTGGACCGTTCAGCTGTCTTGTAGTTCTCCCCCGAAAATAAGAGGGTCACCTCTGTGTCACAACATATTTATGAACCAAGCGGCAGCTCAGAGTAGTCTCCTGGTGGGGGTCCTAGAGAGTGCCTGAACACCTCAAGTCAAAGACAAATAATCAACCTTTTGGTTGTACTGAGGGTTGTCAGCCCTTGATAAGTGATAACTAACCATTTAACTTTGAAGAAAAAATGCAAAATGAAGCAAAACACAGAAGGCCTGTTGTTTGGTCAAAGGTCTATCCACTTAGAGGTGGTGAAATTTGAATGTTTTGCTTTATGTTGACTTTGTTGACAGACAGCCAGCTAGTCGCGTTGACACTTGGAAATATAGTGTCCATTGTGCAAATGTCGGTCTCCACTGGTTAGCTAATGTTAGCCTTGGCCGTTCTGCACTGTGAACAACCTTGGCCGGGTGGGAGCTAAATTAGCTAGTGGTGCTACTCATTTGCAATTTGTAAAGCTCTCCCGGTGACCGGACAACATTGCTGTGAGACATGGTAGCCACCCTCCAGTCTCCCCGCAAGCTTCATTTTGAGCCACAAAACCCCTTTAACATTATTAACTAGCACCACGTGGCATGCTGGCACAGCTTACAGTGATGCCAAAAGAAGTTTGCAGCTCAAAGTCCAGCCGTTTACTCATTGGGACAACCTGCTGAAAGACTGGAAGGTGGACACCTGTTTCCACAGTAATGCTGTTGGGTCGGGATAGTGTAACTAGTGGTAATCACTGCATGAGAGGTGCAGCTAGCTGACATTAGCTCCCAGCAAACCAAGCTGGTGCACAGGCAAGGGTGAGGCCTAGCTAACTAGCTAGTGGAGACTGAAAGGTGGGCAGTGGGCACTATGTTTCCGAATGTTAACGTGGCTAGCGGGATGGCTATTTCCTACCAGGTCTATTTTTTGTTTTTTGTTTTTTTAAGATTATTTTTTCTGGGTTTTTTGTCTTTAATGTACAGGACAGAGTGAGACAGGGGTGAGAGAGAGAGCAGGGGTGTGACATGCAGAAATGGGTGCAAGCCTGAGTTGAACCTGCGACCGCTGCAGCGAGGCATCGCCTCTGTACATGGGGCGCCGGCACTATCCACTATGCACCACGGCCTTTTAGAGCCTCTCTGGGCAAGCGTACACCCTGGTGCTGTCCCAGAGTCTGGTAGGAGACTACAGAGTAGACCCAAAGCATGTTAGAGGGATTATCTTATCTAGCTTGCAACCACCTCAGATTTCTCCAAGAGGAGTTGGTGCACACCCCTTTACATATTTTCCCAAAGCAAAGGTACGTTATAGCCGGCACTATAAGTAAGCTAACAGGTGATTCTGGAGATAAGCGGACTGAATAAGTGACTGCATGTCTTAGTTAAAGAGATCTCTGCAGAAGTCAGATGTTAGCATCTGACTGTAGCCCCTGAAGATAAAGATTCAAACAACACAGGAGAAACAGAGAGAGGTGATCTGACCTGAGAGTTTCCAGAGTACAGTGTGGACTCTCCAGTCCAGCCAACAGCATTTTCACTCCTGAATCCTTCAGGTTGTTGTTACTCAGGTCCAGGTGTCTCAGACTGGAGGACTGGGAGCTGAGAACTGAGGACAGAGCTTCACAGCTTCTCTCTGAGAGGTTACAGCCACTCAGTCTGGAGAGGAAATAATGAACAGAATTGAATCAATCAACAGCACATTTAAAGCACCATGAAATTAACAGAATTTCTACACACTTACAGAGCTTTGTTGGAGGCTTTGACCACTGGCAGCAGCCTCAGAAGAGCCTCCTCTGAAGCAGAGTATTTCTTCAGGTCAAACACGTCCAGATCTTCTTCTGATGACAGTAAGATGAAGACCAGAGCTGACCACTGAGCAGGAGACAGTTTATCTGTGGAGAGACGTCCTGAACTCAGGGACTGTTGGATCTCCTCCACTAGAGAACGATCATTCAGTTCATTCAGACAGTGGAACAGGTTGATGCTTCTCTCTGGACAGGGGTTCTCTTCAATCTTCTTCTTGATGTACTGGATTGTATCCTGATCCATCTTTGAGCTACTTCCTGTCTGTGTCAGCAGGCCTTGTAGAAGAGTCTGATTGGTCCCTTGAGAAAGACCCAGGAGGAAGCGGAGGAACAAGTCCAGGTGTCCATTTGGACTCTGTAAGGCCTTGTCCACAGCACTCTGGTAGAGATGTGGCGGTTCAGGACTGTCTCTAAATAGTTTATTCCATCGAGAGGTTTTTTGTTCCTCTGCCATCAGATTGACTCCAGAGTTGATGAAGGTCAGATGGACATGAAGAGCAGCCAGAAACTCCTGAACACTCAGATGGACGAAGCAGAACACCTTGTCCTAGTACAGTCCTCTCTCCTCTTTAAAGATCTGTGTGAACACTCCTGAGTACACTGAGGCTGCTCTGATATCGATGCCACACTCTGTCAGGTCTGATTCATAGAAGATCAGGTTGCCTTTCTGCAGCTGATCAAAAGCCAGTTTTCCCAGAGACTCAATCATCTTCCTGCTCTCTGGACTCCAGTGATGATCTGTCTCAGCTCCTCCATCATACTTCATGTTCTTCACTTTGGTCTGAACCACCAGGAAGTGGATGTACATCTCAGTCAGGGTCTTGGGCAGCTCTCCTTCCTCTCTGGTCTTCATCACATCCTCCAGAACTGTAGCAGTGATCCAGCAGAAGACTGGGATGTGGCACATGATGTGGAGGCTTCGTGATGTCTTGATGTGGGAGATGATTCTGCTGGCCTGCTCCTCATCTCTGAATCTCTTCCTGAAGTACTCCTCCTTCTGTGGGTCAGTGAAACCTCTGACCTCTGTCACCATGTCAACACAGTCAGGAGGGATCTGATTGGCTGCTGCAGGTCGTGTGGTTATCCAGAGGCGAGCAGAGGGAAGCAGTTTCCCCCTGATGAGGTTTGTCAGCAGCACATCCACTGAGGTGGACTCTGTAACATCAGTCAGGATCTCATTGTTGTGGAAGTCCAGAGGAAGTCGACACTCATCCAGACCGTCAAAGATGAACACAACCTGGAACTCTTCAAACCTGCAGATTCCTGCTTCTTTGGTTTCAGTAAAGAAGTGATGAACAAGTTCCACCAAGCTGTACTTTTTCTCTTTCAGCACATTCAGCTCTCTGAAAGTGAATGGAAATGTAAACTGTATGTCCTGGTTGGCTTTGTCTTCAGCCCAGTCCAGAGTGAACTTCTGTGTTAAGACTGTTTTCCCAATGCCAGCCACTCCCTTTGTCATCACTGTTCTGATTGGTTCATCTCTTCCAGGTGAGGCTTTAAAGATGTCTTCTTGTCTGATGGTTGTTTCTGGTCTGTCTGGTTTCCTGGATGCTGTTTCAATCTGTCTGACCTCATGTTCATCATTGACCTCTGCAGTCCCTCCATCTGTGATGTAGAGCTCTGTGTAGATCTGATTCAGAAGGGTAGGGTTTCCTGCTTTAGCGATCCCCTCAAACACACACTGGAACTTCTCCTTCAGGTTAGATTTGAGGTTAAATTGGCACATGGCAGGAGATTCTGAAAGAACAAGCAACATTATTGAGTGTACTTCTGAAAAGCACCAGTGGCTCAACATAAAAAGTACCCTCCCCAAACCCTTTAGTTTCAGGGTCAATCTTCAGGTCTGGATTCTGGGATCGATCGTGAGTATAAAAACAGAAAAGGTCAGAAATGTGGGTGCGAGGGGCACCCACATTTCCCTCACTTGCATCTTTTCTCTGTATCTTGGTCCCCCTACTGAAGACGCAAGGACAGATGCAAAGAAAGAGGAATCAACGAAACATATCCGTCCATCCATGTATCCATTTTCTGCATCCCTCACTCCTCCTGAAGGGTACCCAAGGCTCTCCCAAGCCAGATTAGATATATGATTTTCCAGCATGTTCTAGGTCGATTCCTGGGTCTTCTACCAGTTGGATGTGCACAGAAAACCTAAAAAGGATGGTACCCTGTAAGATCCTGATCAGATGTTGAACCTTCTTAACCTGTTCATTTAAACATGGATGAGTAATACACCGAGCTCCATCCACATGGCTGAGCTTCTGATCCTATCTCTAAAGGCCCTGACACAACAAGCCAAAGGTCAATATTGGGCCACCTGTGAGCATCTGATACCCTAGTCTTTGCGATGTGTCCTGCACCATTGGCCCTTGTTGGCTCTTGTTGGCCCTTGTCTGCTTTTTTTTCAGCCAATTCAGAAAGGGGTCAGTTGAGGTGGTTCAACACCTGATCAGGATCCTCCTGGGTGCCTCTCGTTAGAGGTGTTCCATGCATGTCCAACTGGTGGGTGGCCCCAGGTTAGACCCAGGGCACACTGGAGGGATTATAAAGCTCGTCTGGCATGGGAATGCCTTAGAATCCCCCAGGAGGACCTGGAACGTGTCACTGGGAAGAGGGATGTCTGGAATACTCTGCTCAGCCTGCTGCCCCTGCGACACGGTTTTGGGTAAGCTGTTAAAAATGGATGGACGGATGGATTCAGCAGTTGAAGACAGTCTTTTGGTTTCCCCTTTTTGAATGAGAAATACAGAAAATGTCACCGTCTGCTGGTATGATGAGTTTTGTCCTCTCATGCAGGTGCAGACAGCCTGTGCTGGTTGGCCATCGGCTGTAGTCTTTGCGGTGTGTTCATGTGCAACCTTTTGGCCAAGATACTGGCAACATAAGGGGGTGCAGCAGTCTGCTTTCACTACTGCTAGATCTTTGAAGGTGCTTTGGGGTGACTGGGCCTTTAGGGTAAGTCTAGGCTAAGGAGGCTTATTTTGGCCGCAATGTCATCCTTTTGGTCACAACCCAAAGCTCAGGACCATCGGTGAGGTCTGGAACATCACCATCTGCATTCTACCGTCACTCCTGAGATAACTGAACTAATGTGTCTTTTGTAAAATGTGATGTTTCACTAAGTTCTGAACCAGTTGGATTCGGGCTACTGCACACTGGCTACGACAGACGTCCAGAGGTTTCAGGGTCAAGCAAAGACTGAGTTGCGTGTTTTTTTCTATTTGCTCATTTAATGTTGTGGCAACCACCCCAGTATTCCCTTCACCTTCATTACTTCCCAACTTTCAACAGTCTACTCATGCTTCCAAACGTAACACCCACATCATTCACTATTCCAATCAGAATCTCTTACATTGCCTGTGCTGAGTGAATCCTGCGTCTGGGGAATGTCTAACTACGGCTCAGGGTTTGTTGGTTGTTTAGGACAGAATGCCAGATTTACCTTTGGATGTCTGGCTGCATTGTTAAGTCTGGGATATTGTACCGTTGGTAGAGCACCGGTGTCACCAATGATGAGGAAATTCAGTCAGTGCTGGACGGAGCAGTGAGTGACAACAACCCATACCATGTCTGAAGGGTTACTGTTGGTTCCAAAGGAAAGTGTTTGGTGGAAACGGGGCTTAAGAGGAGCAGTCCAAAATGACTCAGTTTGAGACATTATAAAAAAACAGGCCAACAAAAACAGACACAAGTGATTCCTCTTGAGATTAATAGACAAGCTTAGAGAAGCTCCGGGAACAGTGCAGTTACCTCCATGTGCTGCAGTCGGCTCCCGGGGATGGGAGCTGTTTGCTGGTGGATTTATGGAGCAGAGGATGAAGTTATTGGAGGGTGAGACTTTTTGGATTGTCGGCAGGGGCCGGCAAGCTAACGACTATCTGACTGTCGGGACTAAGCCTCATCCTCTCCAAAAGTGCAGCTGCAGACTACTGCTAAGCTACACTGTGTTATCTTTTAAGTACTATTATATTACCTTTAAAAAGTAGCCCAAATTGATTCCTAATGAGACGTACTACGAAATTTGGCCAGCAAAAACAAGTGATTCTTCTTGTGACTAACAGACAAGCTTAGTAAGGTTTGTGCTGCAGTTGGTTTTTTGGGATGGATGGCCTAGGGGACATGCAGTTTGCCAGTGGAATTACGGAGTGGAGGATGAAGTTGTTGGAGGGTAAAACAAAAAAAGATGGACTTTTGGCTCATTACCAGGGGTTAGCAAACTAAAGACTGCCAGGACTTTGTGTCTCTTTGACGCCAAATGTGCAGCTGCAGGCTACCGGTAAGCGGTTTGCTGGAGGATGAAGTTGTTGGAGGGTCAAACTACCAATGGTGGACTTTTTGCCTGCTACCAGGACTTTGACTCTAAAACTGCATCTGCAGGCTACAGGTAAGCTACACTGTGTCGTCTTTAAAGTGATGTGTTAGTTTTCTTCAGACTTGTGAAAGCAGGCGGGGTGTAGAGAACGGAGCCTAAGTCTTTAAATGGTTGGGAAAACCCTGCGGTTTATTCTGGAATCATGTTGGTCAAATTGTTGATGATGTTTTGCACTAAATGAGCAATCCTTATTTAGCAGACCAAACAGGAAGTACAGCTCGACCAACAGGGACCAAAGAATATGAACCTCCTGTTAAAGCTTTATAGAAATCCTCTTACTGCTCTGCAGACAGTCAGCCAGCTCCTCCTGCTTCATTCTCCTCAGGAAGTGCAGTGTGATCTTCAGAAATGCCTCTCTGCTGCTCCTCCTCTGCTCTTCATCCTCACCCTCCAACACCTCCTCATCCTCCCTCTGACTCTCGAAGCATACTGGGTAATCTGGACTCAGAACCTTATGGATCTTCTTCAGCTCGTTCTTCACAAAAGTGAGGATGTTCTCCTCCAGCAGCTGGAACAGAATATTATATGAATGACACAATCAAACATCAGATCCATGTTGGACACACTGACAATCCACTGGTGTAAAAAGTGCAGCATGGAGATGACTGTGAACAGAATAGATGTCAAAGTAGTTGTTGTACATGTACAGACCATAAATATGGAGTCCAGGTGTGTTTGATGCTGCTGGGCAGACTGACCACTGGGAACCTCTGAGCTCTCCTGGTCCACTCTGTGGAGGAACCATCAACAATCAGCTCACATTATGTCTGTCCACACAGAGACACTGTCCACACAGAGACACTGTCCACACAGAGACAAACACTGTCCACACAGAGACACACACAAGGTCAAGGTACAGCCAAACTTTCAGTGCACTTCTGGTCTTGTTATAAATGTGCACTATTGGAATTGTTTTATAAATGTGAGAAGTAAACATTCTGTACAAACAGTAAACAACAGTTTACCCCAGTCTATGAGAGACGAGTCCATCTGTAAATGCCAGGGGTTCAGACTTTGAATGGTTGCTCTTAAGGGACACACAGCTGAGTTCAGATCCAGGGTCAGGGGACACTGGTCTCTGATGGATTCTGGAGAACCAGGGAGGGAAATTCACTTTTCAGTCTTCAGACACAGAAGAGAAACAAGCAGCGATCAACAAGAAAAACAAAACAAGGTTCAACATGTACTTCTACTTCAGACCTGACTCAGACTCGGTATCAGCAGGTACTCAGTATCAAAGGTCTCCGATCTGGATCAGGACGAAACATCTCCAGTTAAAAGATGAATGTTATGGACCGCTCACCTTCGCTCAGGACAGAAGAGTCTGTCTTTAAACAGAAGAGGTTCAGACTTCGACTGGTCACTTCTGAAGGACACACAGCTGGGACAAAGTCCAGGTCCAGGTTCAGGTTCAGGTCCAGGTCCAGGATCGAGTTCAGGTCCAGGTCCAGGTAAATTCCTGAGAAACACAGCAGAGGCTACTGCTTTCTATGGCGCACATATCACAAACACACACTCAGGCATGTCTTATTTTTGGAAGGAAGCATAAATGTGAGGATCTGATGCACTTTCCTGTTCAATGTAACAGAGCAAAGATACAGTAAGTGTTCTGATGTTTCACTTGAATGTAAACTGGAACAGTCTGTAGTCTTTATACAAGCGTGTACATTTAGTCTGAATGTAAACGTTTACTTTTAGAAAAATTCAACCAAAATAGTTTCACATTCACCTTTTGTCAACCCGCTTATCAGATTTATCTTTTATATAAATGTAGCGTAGACGACTACAAATACTCCTGAAATAGTGTTTACGTATACTCTAAGTTGTACCAGAGTATTCGTACGGTGTGTTATTTGCACCTTTATTGTGAACACAGCTGAGTACAACAATAATTTGTGCTGAGACAGACTGACGTGACTCCTCTCACAGTGTTTCTGTTTTATATGTATTGATGTAATATAATTTACACGATGAGGAGAAATGACGAAGACTTACGTTTTGAAAGAAAGTTGCGTCTCAGATGGAACCGGTAGAGTCATGGTGGACTCACATATCAACATCCTGTCAGACAACAAACACACATTAAATATTAATCTAACACAATACATATTAAGAATAATGTCTTCACACAGGACCTGATACAGCTGTAATGGAGAACTTTGGCGACACCTTGTGGTTAAAACGGTGAACTGCACGTTATTTATTGACTCCGACTCAGATAATGAATAGTTTGATTCTCACCCTCACAAACAGAATCATTTTATCAACACAGAAGAAATCACGCTGTTAATTTGCAGTAAAAAAAAAAAAAAAGATAAAGAAAAAAGGTAAAACACAAATAGTCAAATTGAAAAAAGTAGATTTAAATTAATAATGATAAAATAAATGAAACTGTACCTTCCTGTATGTAAAAAGGATGTGGAAATTGTATTTATGTGGATTTAATACAACTTCTCCAAACTACACAATTCAGTTGAATATTCATTGTTTACACAGGTCTATATCTTTATTTATATATTTCTATATCATTCATAAAATCTGCAGGATTATAATTTCATGAAAAATTGCAGTGTGCACAACTCCAAAAAAACTTTGAACAACAAATAGGAGTGCAGGGTTGTGGTGAGGATCCAAAAACAAAACAAACATCGGCACTCACACATAAACTCTATTAATTCAATGGTAGCAAAATAAAGAGAAACATTTCAGCTCCATCATCAGCGTGTTGTAACAGGCAGGAAGGACATGTTATGTAACTAGGTGAGGTTTAATCAGGACAGTGAACACATAATGACATGATAGGATCCATCTGTGAATGAATGAATGAACTGCCCAGCAGTGACCTCTGCCAAAAAGGAGGAGTGCCCATAATTATATGTAAGCCGGTGTCACAAACTGAAATGTGACAAAATTCCAAGCTAAAGCTTCGATGTCTCTGAGGGGCAATTTGAGATACAGACAGTTGTCACAAGTTCGACATAACACACAGTATCCAGAGTCACACACTGTCAGGGGTAAATCATGGACAGTTAATGGTCACTGCTGGTTAAGGTAAGTGACACAGCAGACAGGACAAAGGACGATCTGTAATGCTTTGTGCTGCATTTAAGGAGGCAAAACCTCCACTGATGGAAGTGTCTGAAACTCAACACGGAGGGGAGACAACAGGCCAGTGACAATCTTACAAAGGAGGACCACGCTTGTTTGTTTTGCTATGGAAGCTAACGTTAGCTAATGTGCTAAAAAGTTAGCGTTGCAGAGAAATCCAATATTCCTCTTAATCCCTCCCCAGTTTCTGATGAGGTGGACATGATAACCCTTAATACACATAACCTTATTCATCCCTACAACAGGAAATACTTTTTCCCTAACCTGATATGAAGTGTGCGCTGCACATGTGAGCATTTTTGATGATGGCCTCCGTCCAGTCCTTTGGTCTTATCACATTTAACCATAGCTGTCTTTGTTTTTGTTGACCCACAGAATCCATTTTCAGTCAGACATCTGGACGTCAGAGATCAACGGACCTCTTTTTCCCCTCCCCAAAATTAAGCAGAACTTTGGAGCGTAATTTCCAAAGAATTATCATTGATATGCAAACGGTGATTTGTGGGGTGGAGTTTTCCTTGAAGCCTCTGAAACCTGGAGCGACGTCACTTTTCCTGAGCTGCTTTCAGATGCCTTTTGCAGGGTTTTAAACGTTTGAACCCTGAGCAACGTTTTCTTTCAAAAACATGGGAGAACAGGGAGTGAGACACTTGGTAAGAAATGTCCCACAAATTGTAAAAAATAAAAAATCAATAAAATCAAAATGAAAATTATAAATAATAAATAATAATAACAATTTAAATAAATATTTTAAAAAAAACTAGGGAAGAGACTATATTTATAACTAGTTTTAAATATTTGAAATTATGGTACAGAATTATTATAATTTTTAAACACCTTCTCCAGGTCAGTTCCTTCTTTATTTATTTCATTACATCTTATTTTCATTTATTTTCTTGTTTTTATTTATTTATTTCATTTCAATTTTACTTATCTTGTTTTTATTTATTTATTCAGTATCATTTTATTGTTAGTTATTTTTGTTTTTATTTATTTATATATTTAATCATCTTTATTTCATTTTATTTTGACCTTTTTCTTATTTTTTATTTAGATATTTATTTACTTTATTTCTTTTTATTATTATTATTATTTATTTATTTATTTTTACATATTTTCTTGTTTGCATTTATTAATTTATTAATTTTCATCATTTTATTTTTACTTATTTCCTTGTTTTGATTTATTTATTTAACATTGCTGGCTGAGTTCTTCCTGTTTTTGAAAGACACCATGTTACAAAGGGTTAACCGGGTCAGGAGCGCGCGGGCGGTGACGTCAGCCCGGCCGGTTTCGGTGTCCCAAACAAACAAACAAACAAACACCTAAGAGAAAGTGATGGGATTTATGTGACTGCACACCTGTACAGGTGAGTTTTAAACGGCCCTGTTTCTATGACAATGAACGTGACGTCAGAGGAGAGAAGAATAATCAAATGTTAAAACTTCACCTTTAATCCGGAGAGAAGAAGAAGAAGAAGAAGAAGAAGCTGCGTCTTCACCGGGAATCTGCCGAGGAGTGATCACGAGCCTTCTCACGCCTACACACCTCAGTGACGTATATCCGGTGACAGAGCTCACGCATTATGCAGTTTATACCACCAGAGGGCGCCACGTCATCACCAACGTAGAGAGATGCGCCTCATTTACAGCACGGTTACAACACTGCAGCATTTAAACTCCAAGAAGCTGAGAATACTTGAGTACTTTTACTATTAAAAGTACGCCGAACGATGCGTCAGCACTTCCGGTTTGCAGTGACGTCATGCACGTACAGACAGCTGCCACTGAATTAATGTGACTCTGAAGAAAACTTAAAAATGTCGAGATTTTCAAGCAGGTTCGGCAGAAGGACAGAAAGGGCGTCTTTTCTTTCTTTTTTTTTTTACCACAAGAGGAGAATGAAATAAAAACCGGTGAAATGATTTGTGCTGTCTGTAACGATGGTAAATAACAAACACACAACATCCACACATGATAAGTTGTTTATTGGTGACACACACTTCTTACAGTCATGTCTGATGCTTTGGATGGAGACAAGTTACCATAGATGTTGTTCACATTAAAGAAACAGTGGAATATGACACACACACACACACACACACATGAAACACGTGTTTTCAGATCAGTGTGAGGTGCACTTCCAGATGACGTCATGATCTCTGATGTCCATCCAGAGCAAACCTCCACAAATCCAGTTAGAAATCATGAGGAAAAAAAGCGCTGGAGAACTTCCTTGAAAATCCTCTTGTTTTTAGGTTTTCTTCAGTGTCGCAATGATCCAGTGATAATTATGTGAACATGTATGAGTTCACTGAGGAGAGGAGCTGGTGACGCATCATTCGGCGTATTTTAACTACAACATGCTGCAGAAGCAAGCGTTGCCTTTCGAGGATAAACAGGCAGCCGGTGGCGACAGCATGAGCCCTGGGTTTTAGACTGTATCTGTTGCTATGTTAACAAACTGATCACCATTCAAAGTATGCCGAATTATGTGTGAGTAGCTCCTGTTTGCAGCGAGCTCATGAATGAACAGACAGTTGTCACTGGACTAATGTGACACTGAGAGAAACTTTAAAACGTCAAGATTTTCAAGGAAGTTCTGCAGCGCCTTTTTTCTCTGATTCCTAAGTGGATTTTTGGAGGCATACTCATACTGGACATGAGAGATAATGATGTCATATGGAGGGGAAAGCCAAACTGAATCTAAAAATGTGTGTTTCATGTCAGTGTGTTCCCGTTTTACTGAGTTAACACACTTTAAATTCTTTGATAATGATCTAAACCAAACATGGATCTGATTACCTCATGAATCTACTCCATTGTGTTTGAGTTTAATACTGCTCAATAAAAAGTTCCTCCACACATGATACAAACTCTGTTCTGAATTTTCAAACTTTTCCTGACCTAAAAAAAAAGACTTGTTTTCTTTCCCCTGTAAGGAGGTCAAGCTGCTCTGGTTTCAGTCTCTTGAGCGTTTTCTCCAGCCAGGACAAAAGAGGGGAAAAGACAAGAGGATCAGATTTCAGCAGGAGTCAGCCGTCTGGAACAAAGCCACGTTAACTCCTCTTCTATAAACGCAGATTAAATATGTGTGTTTCATCAGCTTCAGCCAGGCTTTAAAATACACTTTATTCTGAAAAACTGTACGAGTCAGGAAGCGTAAAAAATAACAGAAAACACTCCTTAAAAGAAGATTTTACAAAGTCTTATAAATACATGAGGACATTTACAGAATAGCAATAAAATGAGGCAGCTTTGCAGAAGAAGCGCAAAACTGTAAAATCAGGACAACGTTCCTGTAAATAAAAACAGGAAAGATAAAAGACTCACAGTTTGTTTAACGCTCAGCTTACAGGTCTGTGACTCTGGTAATCACCTTACAAATCCTGGAAAGAAGAAGGTAATTGTTATACACACAGAAAAAAAACAAACAAACACAAAGAGTCTCAAAGACGTTCTGATGCGCTTTTCTCCCGACAAATTCTTACTAGATTTACGGACATTTCTTCTGCATGAACAGCAGAAATAATGAAATCCTCCCTAAATGGAAGTCACACTGAATCTAAAAATATCTGTTTCACGTCTGTGAGTTCATGTTTCACTGAGTTACCGACAGAAGAAGAAGAAGAAGTGCACTTTTTGGTGCAAACTGAAGCAATGAGTCTCAGAGTGTTTTTTAATGCGTCAGATGACAGAGACTAACTTCCTGTTGTTTTTACAGCACCTCTGGTCCATTTATTCAAGTTCGTGCTCTGTACAAATTTTTATTTTTGCACTTAAACATGTGTTCACATAACCGAACATTGAGCTGATTCCAAAACTTTATATGTTACACAACAATTAAAAATCATTTACTGCGAAAAAGTGCAAAATATTTACTGGTTCCAACTTGTTAAATTTACTGGGCGCATAAAGTCCAGAAAAGTCAAATTTTGTATCATCTCATGCACACAAGTTACTGTGAGGTGGGAACAACTTGTCTCGTGCGCGCAAAAATTATCAAGTGGATACAAGTTAAAAAATTCTGTGCAAAAGTTATTTTGATGGGTAAACAAATTACTGACTTGTGTGCAAAAATCGTTATAAGCCGGCAATAAGTTATGAACAAACAAAATTATTATGAGTAAACAAGTTATTTACTTCTGCGCAAAAAATATTATCAGGTGGAAAAAAGTTATTAATCTCGGCGCAAAATTATCATTTGGAAACAAGTTAATGACTTTTATGAGGTGGAAACAAGTTATTAACTCATGCGCAAAAATTATTATGCAGTGGAAACTTTTGCGCAAAAAATATAAGATGACAACAATTCATTAACTAGGGCGCAAAAAAATTATGAGGTGGAAAAAATGTACTCAGGTAGAAACAAGTTATTAACTTGTGCACAAAAACTATTATGAGTTGGAAACAAGTTATTAAAATGCACGCCAAAATTATTACGATGTGGAAACTGGTAATTTACTAGTGGAAAGAAGTTATTAACCTCGGTGCAAAAATGATTATAATGTGGAAAACAAGTGCACAACTCCACGCTAAAATTATCAGATGGAAACAAAATATTAACTTGAGCGCAAAAATGATTCTAAACTAAAAACAAATTATTAACCACTGTGCAAAAATTGTAAGGGGGAAACCATCTATGAAATTGCGCTCTAAAATTATCAGGTAGAAACAAGTTATTAACTTGTGTGCAAAAATTATTATGATGTGGAAACAAGTGTGCATCTTTCACTCTAAAATTATCAGGTGGAAACAAAATATCAACTTGAGCGCAAAAATGATTTTAAGCTGGAAAAAAAATATTAACCTCTGTGCAAAACCTATAAAACAAGCTATGAAGTAGCGCACTAAAATTATGAACTGGAAACTTGTTCATACCTTGTGCGCAACAATTATTATGAGGTGGAAAGAAATTTTACCCTCTGCGCAAAAATTATCAGGCGGAAACAAGTTATTAACCTTGGTGCAAAATTATTTGTAATAATAATGACTTGTGCACAGAAATGATTATGATATGGAAACAAGTGCGCAATTTGCACGCAAAAATTATCAAGTGGAAACAAAATAGTAACTGGAGCCTAAAAATGATTATAAGATGTTAAAATGATTGTGCAAAGAATATTATCAGGAGGAAACAAGCTATGAAATAGCGCGCTAAAATTGTCAACTGGAAACAAGTTATTAACTTTAGCACAAAAATTATTATTAGGTGGAAACAAGTTGTTAAAGTCCTAAAGGGGGATAAAAAAGCACAACATTTTGACACTTAACAGCCTCCGTAGAACGTAACAATAAAATGGTTTTCATGATTTTCTATGATGTAAACTTGTAAACTTTGAGTCAGTCAGACAAAACAAGACGTCATCTTTGGCTCTGAGAAACAACATCAACATTCTAAACAAATAATCGATAAATAAATGTGATGTTTTTAAACAGGAAGTCACAGACCTGTAAAGTGAAACTAGAATTTAGAAAAGCTACACATGTAAAATTAATTGTAACTTCAGTTCGAAAACATAAAAACCAGGACGTGGTTCCCGAGTGTACGTGTCCTTACTGAGTCTGATGTGAGACGACTCGGAGCGTCCACGTCTCAGATATCCATCTGTCCTCAGGCTCAGTAACAAAATGGTGTCCGTATGTCTGGGTACCGCCCACCTCTACACCGTCGTCTCGCCCTGGTTGTTGCCGCTCAGTCTTTTATAAAACCTGCGCCACGACTGCAGCGTCTTCCCAGACCAGATCCAGAAGCTGGACGTGATCCCCACAATCATGGTCATCAGGTATTTGATCATGAACACGGTAAAGTCCGGCGTCAAAGGCGCAAAGTTCCTGGCCGGGCATGGCATTGCGAAACGCTTGCATGTCTGCAGGCGCCATGTCCTCTCCCACTGCGGCCGGAAGGCCTGCTCATAGAAGTAGCAGGCGATGACGATGGTGGCGGGCACCGTGTAGAGCACGCTAAAGACGCCGATCCGCACCATCAGCTTCTCCAGCTTCTCCGTCTTGGTGCCATCGTGCTTCATGATGGTGCGGATGCGGAAGAGCGACACAAAGCCTGCCAGCAAGAAGGAAGTGCCAATGAACAGGTAGACAAACAGTGGCGCCAGGACGAAGCCGCGCAGGGCGTTCACGTTGTAGATCCCCACGTAGCAGACACCAGTGAGCAGGTCGCCATCCACCTGCCCCATGGCCAGGATGGTGATGGTTTTCACTGCTGGTACCGCCCATGCTGCCAGGTGGAAGTATTGTGAATTGGCCTCGATGGCCTCGTGGCCCCACTTCATCCCGGCAGACAGGAACCAGGTGAGCGACAGGATCACCCACCAGATGGAGCTCGCCATGCCGAAGAAGTAGAGGATCATGAAGAGGATAGTGCAGCCCTCCTTCTTGGTGCCCTGGGCCACCATCTTGTAACTGTCGCGGCTCAGCTGGTGGTCGATACACACCACCCTGTCCTCCAACAGGAATCCAGCAGCGTACGCCAGCGCCACCATGAAGTAGCAGCCGGACAGGAAGATGATCGGCCGCTCCGGGTATCGAAACCGTGTCATGTCCACCAGATAGGTGAGAACAGTGAAGAGGGTGCTCATGCAGCACAGGATGGACCAGATCCCGACCCAGAGCCGACCGAACCTCAGCTCCTCCTCTCGGAAGTACATCAGTCCGTTTGGTTTGGAGGTTTCGCAGGGGGCACCACAGTCTTTCGCCCCCAGGAAGTGGTAGTTGAGGTAGGGCGGCACCTTGAGCTGCAGCGGGCAGGAGAAGGGCTGGTCGGTCCAGACGTGCGGCGGCAGGGTCACCAACTCCGGGACGTTGGGTGTCGGGTCGGAAGTGGTTCTCTCTGAGTCGGTCGTGTTCTGGCCAACGCAGATCTCTCCTGCGCCGTGGACTGGGAAGTTCTCGCAGCGCAGCCTCTCCGGCCACTGGAACCCAAATTTGTTCATGAGCGCCTCACAGCCCTGGCGTGCCCGTTCACACAGAGACCGGCAGGGGGGGATGGCCTGCTCCAGGACGGTGCACACCGGCGCGTACATGGAGCACAGGAAGAACTTCAGGTCGGTGGAGCACTGGACTTTGACCAGTGGGTAAAACTGGTGCACCTCCAGCCCAGCGTCCTCCTGGTTGGTGTGTCCCAGCAGGTTGGGCATGATGGTCTGGTTGTAGGCGATGTCGGTGCAGAGCGGGATGGAGATGGGCTGACAGAAGCCGTGCTCCGGGACCCAGATCCCCTTCTCGTACTGAGCTGCGCACAACTGGAGGAGGAGAGCGGAGAGCAGGGCGCAGAGCCGCCGCCAGCTTCCCCCCACCGTCATGACCAATGATCGGAAGACCAGTCTCCTCAGAGTACTGACAGGCTCCAGCAGCAGCAGGAGGAGGAGGAGGAGGAGAGTCCTGCTCCTGCTGCACTCCTTTAATACTCCCAGAAAACGGAGGCTTGTCCCGGCAGCCCGGAGACACGGAGTCCGGTCACCTCACGGACCGACAGCTGAGAGCAGCAACAGATGTGAACTCCTCCTCCTCCTCCTCCTCCTCTCTTTAACTCCGGGCTCGTGAGCTCCTTCAGGACTCCTCAAATGTCCCGAGAGAGTCTTGCGCTCCCACTGAACGTCCGCAGTGGCGCGAAAACAAACTTTGTCAATGAGTAAACAGTTTAAGATGCACGAGAGTTCTGCACAATAAAACTTATCACACACACACACACACACACACACACACACACACACACACTCTGCCCGGGTTGGTTTCAAGGCGCCCCTCCCCCTTCTCTCTTCTCTCTCTGCAGCGCACGCGGGGCGCCTTGAAACCGCGCTGTGTTCTGGGCCGCGGCACTGCTGATTGGCTGGTGGAGGTTAAAGGGTGGCTCCACAGTGGCAGAGGAATCCTTTAATATTCATGTTTTTTTTCTTCCTGTACAGAAGTGTGCTGCTCCTCTCTCCACAAATATTACACTGGGTATACTTACAAAAAAAAAATTTAAATAGTAACTATTATTTATTTATTTTTATCTCATTTAAAAAAATTTAAAAAATAATATATATATATATATTAAATAAATTAATTCATTAATTAAAAAAACAACAGAGCAGAAACACTGAGGTCATGTGATTGATTTATTTTATTTTATGATATGATTAATTTAAATGACAAACATAATTCAGATCTTTTCTGTTCAGATTTCAGAGCTGAAATCAGCCGCTCGTTATCCTCCTTCCTGTCTGAACATGGAGTGGTGCCTCCTGGTTGTACTCGACACAGTACTTTTATCTTTGATACTCAGTATATTGTGCTTGTAATACTCGCGTGGGGAAAGTACTCCGATCCAAATTTACAAAAGTACAGATTGAAGTTACCGTGAAGAATATAAATACAGTTATGTCGACACAGTGAATACACACTGTGTGACACATACAGAGGTGTTGTTAATGTGAATATAAAGTCTGTACGACACACAGTGTGAAGAGCACAGCCTCACAACCACCTCACCTTCCTCTGTGTGATGTCAACACATCCCTTAGTGCAACCTACAGCCCCTTTTACACTGTCAGATTTTCCGTGAATGTTGGGCCGTTTTGTGTCTCTGTCAACCTCAAAGAGACACAAAACACCCACAAAGAGACACAAAACAGCCGCAATGAGACACAAAACAGCCGCAATGAGACACAAAACAACCACAAAGAGACACAAAACAGCTGCAATGAGACACAAAATAACCACAAAGAGACACAGAACAGCCACAAAGAGACACAAAACAACCACAGAGACACAAAACAACCACAAAGAGACACAGAACAGCCACAAAGAGACACAAAACAACCACAAAGAGACATAAAACAGCCAGAGACACAAAACAGCCGCAGTGAGACACAAAACAACCACAAAGAGACACAAAAAGCCACAAAGAGACACAAAACAATCACGGAGACACAAAACAACCACAAAGAGACACAAAACAACCACGGAGACACAAAAAGCCACAAAGAGACACAAAACAATCACGGAGACACAAAACAGCCACAGAGAGACACAAAACAACCACAAAGAGACACAGAACAGCCACAGAGAGACACAAAACAACCACAAAGAGACACAGAACAGCCACAAAGAGACACAAAACAACCACAAAGAGACACAGAACAACCACAGAGACACAAAACAACCACGGAGACACAAAACAACCACAAAGAGACACAAATAGTGGTGGTCATAAAGACGAGGTCAGCGGACGGCAGGCCGACTCTGCTGACACATTTATTTTAACACCGTCACGTCTTCATCATCACTCTGATGGTGTCCAGTGTTTATTTGACAGACGAGTTTCCATCGTTCCTCCGAGCTGAGCGAGTTGAAGCACAAACACACAGCGGCGTTAACCCAAACACCGCTGACACCCCCACGCCTTTTTAGGCCATGGCTCTTCAAAATAAAAGACCCATATGTTCCTGCTCCCTCCATCTCCTCTTCTTCTACTGTTTATATCTCTACTGTCCAAACGATCCACTAATGTCAACACCAAGGAGAGGGAAGGAAGAGAGGGAACGAGTGAAGGAGAGAAAGAGAAGGAAAGGAAACAAAGCAGGAGATGAAAAACTGTGTCTGTGGAAGCAAATGAATGGATACGAAGAGGGGGAAGGATAGAGGAGAGGAAAGGAGGAAGGAAAGGAGTAAAATAAAGGAATGAAAGGAAAAGAAGGAAAAGTAAGAATGGAGGAAAGGCATTAAGAAGGAAAGGAGAAGAGGAAAGAAAGGGAGGGAGGAAGGAAAGGAGAAAATGAGGTGAAGAAAGAAAAGAAAAGGAAGGGTGGAAATGTAGGAAAGGAAAGAAAGGAACCGACGAAGGACAAATGGAAATAAGGAAAGGAAAGGAGGAAAGGAAAGAAATGATGAAAGGAAAGAAAGGATAAGGGCAAAGATTAGGTGACAAGGAAGAAAGAGGAAAGGACGAAAGGCAAGAAAGGGAGGAAAGGAAGAAAAGGGTGAAAGAAAGGAAAGGAAGGAAGGGTAGGAAAGGGTGAAAGGAATAAATGAAGGAAAAGGAGGGTGAAAGAAAAGAAAGGAGGGAAAGGTAGGACAGGATGAAAGGATAGAAAGGGAGGCAAAGGAAAGAAAGAATAAAAGGAAAGGATAAGGACAAAGAATAGGTGACAAGGAAGGAACGTATGAAAGAAAAGGATGAAAGGAGAGGAAAAAAGGAAAGGAAGAAAGCAAAGAATAGGTGACAAGGAAGGAAAGGATGAAAGCATGAAGCTGCATCACTGTTGCTAGGGTGGTAACCCTAGCAACAGTGATGCCCACTTAACGTTGAATATTTAACTAATATTTAATATTTGTTTATGTGGTTAAACAGACGCCTGAAAGTCAGACTTTGGTCTCTACTAAGTTTTGAACACGTATTACCTTCATGGTATTATTGTGTATCTCATTTTAGTCACACATATTCGTAGCTAAGCCAAATTTCATGAATTTCAGAAGCTAAGATGTAGCTACTGCTACTTCGCTGCGTTAGCTTTAGCAGGATTTTACCTCACAAGTGTATTCAACTGCTGCTTCATCAGTTCAATGTTTAGCTTCAGCTAAAGTTAGCCGTGGTCAGCTGTCACTTTACAAGCTAGCTCTTACTTTGGCTGCCTTGGCGCAGTTTTTAGCTCCATCTTATAGTAACTGCTGATTTTGATTCTGGTCTTCAACACGTTTTAGCTTCGTAGGACACAGTGGCGTTATTGTTCTGTTTTATGAAACATATTCGCAGCAACGCGACGGTCTGGTGACAGCTGAGAAAACTTTTTGGGAGAAAACAAAGACAAAGTGTTTTGGAGATTAAAAATAACTTCAGTCCAACTCGTCTGATTCTTCAGAGGCCACATATCAAAGGCTGCTGTGCATTCTGATTTATTATTTATTTATTGTTTGTTCCGAGTGTCGTGAATGAATTTGCTCTCATCAAACGATACCCGACGTTCACCCAAACACAAACAGAGTTAAATATGCACCAACACCTTCGACTGTCTCTTTCATCTCAACAGTCAATCAAAACGACACCTCATTTTCACGTCAATCAGAAGAATCCCATAAATTTAAAGTTGTTCAAAACAACTCGAGCTTTTGTTGAACTTCTTGTTTTGTTGGCGAAGTTTCTGAAGTCGCACAGACTTGAATTTTAAAAACCGATTTGACTTTGAGACGAACACGAAAGACAAACAAGTGAATGCGAACAAAGAGGCCGACGGTGAAACGAGCACGAACTTACAAACAAAGTGATTGTGTTGCTCCGCTGTGTGAAACCAAGATACAACTTCAGCAGGAAACAACTCCCGAAGAATAACATTTAAACGTGTTACAGTAACGTCGTAAAATTATGATTTAAAATTGTTGAAAATATGAAGGTGAATCTGCCCCCTGGAAAACGTTCGTCACACTCTACCTTTATTGGAACTGCAGCATGATTTTATTCTCTAAACAAATGAACGTTAAACATTTTCTTCATAAAAAAAACAAACAAATTTGTTCCCCCTAACGTTACAGAGGAAGCTTAAACTTCTTCTCAGAAGTTAAACTGGAGGTAAGTCTCAAAAACACCACCTGAGCCCTGTCAGCCTCACAGAAATACGACAAATGACCACAGATTCATCACCACGCATTTCGTGACGCTGACACGCAGTGTGTTAAAGTGACATATCATCGGAAAGTCAAATACGAACAGTCACAGTTTTAAACACGTGGTTAACGTTGTAGCTTTAGGAAAAAAAAACACTCGGGTTTCGGAAAACATTGTGGTTTTGATTCGAATAACTTCGTACGGGACATAAGTGATGTGAAGTTACGAGAAGTCATGTTACTACACTGATGTGAATATCGGCCTCTGGGGTGAAAGTCTGTGTTTGTTTGACCATCATCATCCTCACTGTGACCTCGTCACATGTCCACGTTTGGTCATGGACTTTCCACGTCCACATATGACGTCCAAGGTACCCTGGGTGTGTTGGTTGTTGACGTTCTGGGACGCCGTGTCAACTTCAGCCTGTTACATGCATTGTCTGTTTTCAAAATACACTTCTGTTTTCACAGGAAATGTACAGTTTGTATACAGTCTCTTTCAAAATAAAAGCACTACGTCAGTACAACACCACCAACTGATGTTTTTTTTCCTTCAACAACACACGTGGTTACGTTTAGGACAAAAGAACAGGGTTTGGCTTTACAATCTTACAGGAAGTGAACACCGGCCTCCTGGGTGAAAGTTGGTGGATCCATCCATCGGGCTTTAAATATGTTTTGTGAAATTTGTGAAATATTCAGTTAATTAATTAAGGTCAGTTAAGGTTGCTAAAGGTCAGTCCTGATAAAGCACTTCCTGTCCGCAGCACACGATGAACAACTCTTCATTACAAACAAAGTGATGAAGACGAAGCAGCCTGGGACGTGTGGAGAATCACAACAACAGATTTTATTTATCACAACAACAAATAAACATTCATCAACATTCAGCTCCTGAATGAACCCTCGTTACTCTCCGTGAACCAACGCTAACGTCCCAACGGGCTGACGGTCACCACGGGAACATTTCATAAAGATGGTTATTTATATTTAACATTGAATATAATGTTTAGAATTATTCAATTAAACATACACAGATCGTATCATGTCAATAAATATAAATATACAGTAATGAATGGGTTTATATGGAGGGTTTGTTCCCCCCTCTGCTCATCTGCTCAGGTTGAGTTTGGTCACCACCACTTGGCGGCGGGCAGCAGGGAGGGTTTGACCCTCCGTCCAGGGTTTAAGGCGTTCCTGACCTCTGTCTCCAGATGAATGCCGGGCACCTTGAAAATGGACACTGCTGGAAAACCAGAGAAGAAGAGAAATTACTTGTGGGAAGCGGCTGTGTTGGTGCGTCTCTCTGCGCGTGTAAGGGCGAGTTCTTACTGTCCCTGAGGTGCATGATGGGAGGAGGCAGCGTGCTGAAGTACGGGTGCCTCAGGGAGTCCTGGGCCGAGATCCGGTCTGCAGGGACCCCCTTCAACATCCTCTGGACCAGGTCTTCTGTCTTATAGGGCAGCTGGTCCAACCTGGTCCACATCAAAACAGTAAGCTACATGCTAACATGCTAACACTTTCCTAAACAATGTATTAAATAGCAGAAGGCCACATGCTAACATGCTAACAGTTTATAAATGCTACATGCCAACATTTTATAATACACTAAATAACTATGGGCTAAATGCTAACATGCTAACACTTCACCATACGTTAGAAAACAGTAAGCTACATGCTAACATGCTAACACTCTCCCAAACAATGTATTAAATAGCTGAAGGCCACATGCTAACATGCTAACAGTTTATAAATGCTACATGCCAACACTTTATAATACACTAAATAACTATGGGCTAAATGCTAACATGCTAACACTTCACCATACATTAGAAAACAGCAGGCCTCATGCTTACATGCTAACACTTTACCGTACACTGTATTAAACAACTGTAGGCTAAGTGCTGACATGCTAACACTTTACTATAGACTTTTTAAAACAACAATACACTATAATAACATACTAACACTTTACCATAGACTTGGTTAGACAATAGTAGGTTACATGCTAACATGCTAACACACTAAGACTTTACCATTAACTTTATTAAACAACAGTAGGCTACACACTAACATGCTTACACTTTACCATACAATTTACAGCAGAAGGCTAACATGCAAACATGCTAATACAATCTACACTAAACAGATGGCTACATGCTAACATGCCAACACTTTACCATATAGTTTGTTTAACAACATTAGACTACATGCTAACAGTTTACCATAGAGTTTATGGAACATCAATTAGCTACAAGCCATCATGCTAACACTTCAAGATACACTTTGATATGCAACAGTAGGCTACATGCTAACATGCTAACACTTTGCAATTGATGATTAAACATCAGTTTACAGTTTAATAAACACCAATTAGCCACAATCTAACATCTACTATACACTTTATTAACCAACAGTGGGCTTCAAGCAAATATGCTAATGGTTTACCATAGACTTTAAACAGTGGCCTCCATGCTAACACACTAACACTTTGCTATACACTTAACAACAGCAGGCTACATGCTGACTTTACTACAGTTCAGTTATTCTTAATAGTGTAGATGTTTTCCTGAGAAAATAGGGGGAATAAATAACAAAAAAAAAACAAAAAAAACAAACAAAATAAACAACAATTCAAATGATATTTATTTTGTGTCTTTACCTTTTCCAAACGCTCCTCAGCTGCTTCGGCTTGGAGTGAAGAAAAAACTCTGTGGAGAGAAACAAAACCAGTTCACCATTAATAATAACAATAAAAATAATAACTAATAATAATGACAATGATAATAATAATAACAACAATAATAATAATAATAATAATAATAATACTTATAATTATAAAAGAAAGAAATAAAATGAAAGAAGAAGAATCACTGTTGACTTCAATGATTTGATGTCGCCTCCTGGTGGTCACTGTGACACACTGCTGAACTACAGTGACTGATCATTTAATCAATAATCAATAAATCAACTTGGGGAAAGACGCCTGAAATATTACTTTAACAAACAGTGCATAAAAACAAACAATAAACAACTCCCAGATGATTTATTTCACATGTGGCTATACCATTAAAAGATGAAATAAGATTTAACTGTTAATAAACAACACAATAAAATGATTTCTTTTGTCCTGCAGGTTAGACAGATTAAAATACATAAAAAATATTAATTTGGAGAATGTTGACATACAGAATATTAAAAAATGAAAATAAAATTGAGAATTAAAAAAAAAAGATTTACTTGGTAATTTAAAATAGAGAAATAAATGAATAATGACGCAAATATTATAATAAAAATAAAAGATATTTTGACATGCTAACACCTCACCATACACTTAACAACAGAAGGCTTTATGTGAATATATGCTAACACTTTACCACAGGCTATTAAACAACAGTAGACTACATGCTAGCATGCTAACTCAATGCTACAGTATAGACTCTGCTACAACAATAAAGTTTGTTAAGTTAAACAACAGTAAGCTACTTGTTAACTTGCTAACACTTGACCATACACTAAACAGCAGGCTCCATGCTAACATGCTAACACCTTAGAAGTAATATAATAAAAAATACTTTGCTTAATGCAAGATAAAAGTATAAAATAAAGAAGGAATAAACAAGCTAAATAAAACATATTTTGATAACTATATGAGAATAAGAGTATTAAATCAAAGAATGACGTCAATAATATGAAATAAATTAATAAAATAATTATCAAAAATGTAATTAAAAATTGACCAACTGATTAATGTGTATATATGCAAATATATATATGTATATATATATATATATTGAACTGACCTGGTTTATAATTTGGCAGCTGGCTGACTCCAGGCCAGCTGTCCTCTGTGGGGACACCCAGGACCTGCAGGGACACAAGACTTTATTTAATTTCATTCTCATCAGTATCTAATATCATAATGATAATAATAATAATAATAATAATAATAATAATAATAAATGTGTGAGCTGTCAACTTTTCATCACCGTCCAAATCTTCTTTAGTTGCTCAAACACATCAGTGACTCCGGGGAATGCCGGCGCCCCCTGCAGCATCTCTACGAAGATACACCCTGCTCCCCTGATTCAAACGCACAAAACTTTATTTAAAAATCACACTGTCATAATCTGTATGTACACGTCACCACCTGAACACAAACAGGAAACAGAAAGAAAACATGTGACAGACAAATCTGTGATGACATCAGCAGGAGGAGAGCTAGTCAAAATTAGCTGTTAGCAGCTTCTCAAAGTTAGCTGTTAGCAGGTGGATAACTTTAGCTGTTAGCAGCTACTTAATCTTAGCTGTTAGCAGCTAGTTAACATGAGTTGTTAGCAGCTAGTTACTGTTAGCTATTAGCAGCTAGTTAATGTTAGCAGCTAGTTAAAATTAATTTTTTAGCAGTTGATGTTAGTTGTTAGCAGCTATTTAATTTTAGTGGTAAGCAGCAGGTTAATGTGTCAGCTGTTAGCAGCTAGTTAACATGAGCTGTTAGCACCTAGTTAATGTTAGCAGCTAGTCAAAGTAAGCTGTTACCAGCAGGTTAAAGTAAGCTGTGAGCACCTAGATAATGTTAGCTGTTAGCAGCCAGTTATGTTAGCTGTTAGCAGCTAGTTCACATTAGCTGTTAGCACCTAGTTAAAGTTAGGTGTTAACAGGTAATTAAAGTTAGCTGTTACAAGCAGGTTAAAGTAAGATGTTAGCAGCAAGTTAATGTTAGCTGTTAGCAGCTAGTTAAAGTTAGCCGTTGACAGCAAATTAAAGTAAGATGTTAGCACCTAGATAATGCTAGCTGTTAGCAGCTAGTTATGATAGCTGTTAGCAGCTAGTTCACACTAGCTGTTAGCAATTAGTTAATGTTAGCTGTTAGCAGCTAGTTAAAGCTAGCTGTTAGCAGCTAGTTTACATTAGCTGTTACAGTTAGTCAGAGTCTGCAGTTAGTTTGGGATGTTAGCTCTTAGCAACTAATTAAATTAAAGTTTGCTCTTAACAGCTAGTTAATGTTAGTTGTTAGCAGCTAGTTTACGTTAGGTGTTAGCAGCTAGGTGTTAGCAGCTAGTTAATGTTAGCTGTTAACAGCATTAATTTTAGAGCAGTTTAATAAAGGGAAAAGTTATTTTAGGTTTTATTAAAGTTGTTTCATCAGTGTTTATGACTGAGTTAGTGCTTATTCAAAGGTCACATCTGTTCATGTCATCTCTGTGAAGATACACTTGGCTCCTCTGATTCAAACACATTAAATTTTATTTAAACTGACACTGTCAGAAGCTTCCTCCACATGAGCTGATTTTCCTGACATCATAAAACTGTTGTAAAAATGTGATAAGAGCTTGTCGGTGCTGACCAGATGTCCAGAGCGGTGGAGTAATCTGTGGATCCCAGCAGGACATCAGGGGGGCGGTACCACAGCGTCACCACCTCAGAGGAGAAGGTCTGACTGGGGATGGACTTGGACCGAGCCAGACCTGAAACCAGAACCAGTCAGATCCAGTTTGGATACGTGTTAGAGAAATCTGTGAGTCTGAACAGAAGTCAGTGGGAAGAGTTTATGAACGACTAATTTTAAAGTGGTTAAATTTAATGTCTGTCTAAATGTTCTGTTGTGGTGAGTTGTTGGTGACGTGAATGTTGCAAGTTGCTCCTGACCGAAGTCAGCTAGCTTGAGTTCTCCCAGGTAGCTGATGAGCAGGTTATGAGGCTTCAGGTCTCTGTGGAGGATCCTCCTGCTGTGGATGAAGCAGAGCGCTCGCAGCAGCTGGAACATGAAGAGCTACAACAACAACAACAACAACAACAACATATTATTATTTATCATGAAAGGAGACCTGTTAACTTTGGTACCTGATGATGGACCCTGATGTTGTGTGAGTGCAGGTGTGAACGGATCCTTGTGTGAGTGCAGGTGTGAACGGATCCTTATGTGAGTGCAGGTGTGAACGGATCCTTGTGTGAGTGCAGGTGTGAACGGATCCTTATGTATGAGTGCAGGTGTGAACGGATCCTTGTGTGAGTGCAGGTGTGAACGGATCCTTATGTGTGAGCGCAGGTGTGAACGGACCCTGACGTTGTGTGAGTGCAGTCCTCCGGGGTGATCAGTAAGGTACTGGGCCAGATCTGTTTGCTGCAACGACACCAGAAGAAGAAAGATGATCAGCAATGGAACGCGTGAAAGATGTTTTATAATTCAAACTTATTTACGATACGTTTCTCACCACGTATTCGAAGACGAAGGTCAGAGACTCTTGGGTGTGAATGATGTCATGGAGGACGACGATGTTGGCGTGTTTCAGACCCTTGAGCAGAGACGCTGCACACACAAAAAAAACAGGAAACGCACTGTAAAAAATAACAACTAATCCAGGAAACACACTGTAAAAAATAACAACTAATCCAGGAAACACACTGTAAAAAGTAGAACCCAGAGGATAAAAGTGTGTGTGCAGTGATCACCTTCCCTGATGGCGGTGAACGGGACGCCCTCCTCCGTCTTCATACGAATCACCTTCAGCGCCACCAGCTGTCCGTTTATCCTCAACAAGCAACATTCACAGTGAACACAACAAAATGTACTGAGAGTATCGAGGTCAACGTTCTGCTGCTGCAGAAGAACGCCACGGTTAAAGTACGCCCAACAATGAGTGAGCAGCTCCAGTGTGCAGTGGCCTCATGGAGGTACAGATCATCATCACTGGTGCTGATGAAGACTCACACAGTGCTCAGCAGATAAATCTATAATCAGTACTCTGAGTAGACTGACCTGCTGATTCCTTTGTAGACGGAGGCGTACGCTCCTTCACCCAGTTTCTCCAGACTCAGGTAAGAATGAGTCGCTCCAAACTGAAGACCTGGTTTCTGATCAGAAGACACATGTCACACATCAGGTCACGTATCAAACTTTATACTGATGTTTCCTCTCAGGGGTCAGAGGTCAGGTTCAGCTGACTTGAAGGCAAAAGGCATAAAGCAACAGAGACAGCGTAGCCAGGAGCTAATGAGGGAAATAGAGAACAGGTGAGGTGCAGGGAGGAGATCAGGTGACGGGAGGACTGAGGACAGGTGCAGGACAGGTGGAGGACAGGTGCAGGACAGGTGGAGGACAGGTGAAGGACAGGTGGAGGACAAGGGGAGGACAGGTGCAGGACAGGTGCAGGACAGGAGCAGGACAGGAGCAGGACAGGTGGAGGACAGGTGAAGGACAGGTGTGATGTTTCTCTGACCCAGGTGAAGGGTTCCTCGCAGCTGTTCCTTCCCAGCGGGTCGCTATTGCTGCGTCCTCGCTGCTGTCGGAACCGTCGGACCTGCAGGGTGTGGAACCAGTGAGGGTGGGACCCTGAGCTGGACTGATCTGGATCCAGCTGGGACAAACAGACAGAGAGAAAAAGAAAAAAAAGTTTCTCAAACAGGAAGTGATGTTACTCCAATGTGAAGTAAAGTTACTCAAAACAGGAAGTAAAGTTACTCTAACAGGAAGTAATGTTACTCAAAAGGAAAATGGTGTTACTCAAACAGGAAGTAATTTTGCTCAAACAGGAAGTGATGTTAATCGAATGGGAAGTGATGTAACTCAAACAGGAAGTAAAGTTAGTCAAACAGGAACTAATGTTACTCAAATGGGAAGTAAAGTTAGTCAAACAAGAAGTAATGCTACTTTTAGGGAAAGCGGTGTTACGCAAACAGGAAGTAATTTTGCTCAAACAGGAAGTGATGTTAATCGAATGGAAAGCGGTGTTACGCAAACAGGAAGTAATTTTGCTCAAACAGGAAGTGATGTTAATCGAATGGGAAGTGATGTTACTCGAACAGGAGGTAATGTTACTCAAATGGGAAGAAATGTTACTCAAACAGGAAGTGATGTCACTCAAACAGGAGTACAGTGGTGGAGGAAGTATTCAGATCCTTTTATTGAGCGAGTACTGATACCGCACTGTAAAAAATACTCTGTAGTAAAAGTCATGCTTTGAAACATGACTTCAGTCAAAGTGTGTAAGAACGATCAGGAAAATATTTACAAGCTGAAAGTAAAAATACTTCATGCAGAATATTTTCATGTGTTTAATAAATAAACAAAGTGTGTTCTTCATTTATAAAGTTAAACTAAAGTTATGAAACAGCGGTGGTGGAGTAGAAGAAGAAGAAAGTGGAGTCAAGTAAAGTAAAAGTACCTCCACCTTGTACGTCAGCACAGCACTCGAGTAAATGTACTTAGTTACATTCCAGCACTGCTCAAACAGGAGTTGTTGTCATACCTCAGCAGGAGGGAGGGAGGTTGAACTCCTGCTCTTCCTGAAGCTGAGCCCCTCCATCTTCACTTCCTCCTCCTCCTCCTCCTCCTCCTCTTCTTCTCCTTCCCTTCTCCCTTTCTCCTCCTCATCCTCATCTTCCTCACCACAGCAGCACCTCCTCACCCACCTCCCGGCCTCCGTCACCCACCGGGACAAGTCCTCCATCTTTTCCTCCTTCTTTACTCCTCTTCCTCCTCCTCTCTGTGTCTCATATGACTCACATGGTTCAGGACGAGCAAACAGGGTCCCATGACTGTCTCTGTGTCTCAGTCCACAACAACAGAGTCCTTTCAGCACAGTGAGTGTGTGCTGCCCCCCAGAGGCCACAGTCAGGAACCACAGCGCTCACCAAACTTCATTCATTCATTCACCATCTAACCGCTTCATCCTCTCACCCAACTTATTTCTTGTAATTCATTATTATAGTGTTTTGTTGAGTTTAATAAACTTCATGCAATTTCAAAAGAAAAGTTCTTGTGTGTCAGAATTTGTGGTGATTTTTTGTGTTGTTTATTGTAGTTTTTATTTTTTAAACTTTATCACGTACAGTTTTTATTCTAATTTATTTTATTGTCATTTTGTTTATGTGTCGTTATTAATTCTGCCTAGAGTTCATTACATTTGTTTAATACAAAATGTATTTGTATCAAATTAGGTTGTCATTATTTAATCAGCTTGCTGCTTTATTTTTGTGTAAATAATTAAAATGCATTGTTCGTCATACTGATCGTGCTTCTTAAATAATTGTATATTTTATTTTTAGTTTTTATGGTTAATACTTTCTTTAAATGTATCATTATTTTTTTTAAATATCTAAATCTTTTAAAAAATCATTACTATAAATATTGTTCATTTTTTAATTATATTTTATTTTTGTTTTATTTACACTATATTTGACAATTATAATTTTCTGTTTTATACTTGTAACCAATTCTAACTTTTTGCACTGTTAATTATTAAATTTGAAATACTGTCATTTTATTGTAGATTTTGTTTCGTGCTCTTCATCAGTTTATATATTTGTTTTTTCCACTTTCATTTTATGTTTAATTATTAAAGCCTAAATCAGTTTTTAATGTGTATTTAATTGTAATATTATTTTAAATACCATTATTCCTTTAACTTTCTTTTTCATTTCATTTTTATTTGTAGATCATCGTTTAAATGTATGTTTTTCACATTTATTTTCCTACTCTTGTTGAGAATATATCGTTTTCGTAAATATTGTGCAGCATTTGTTTTATTTGCGTAATATCTGGTTACAAATTAATTCTTAAAATGTTCTCCTTGTTTTTTTATTTGATAAATGTATAAAATTCAAATGACTTTTTATTTTATTGTCTCTTATGAAGCGGAGATATTTAGACGTCAGTGTGTCAGTGACATACAAACAAAACATTTGGAGACACTCAGGCTGCAGTTTGATGTGTTTTAATTCTGATCAAATATTCACAACGAGAGAGAATCAAATATAAGTTAATATTCTGATATAAAACATATTTACATTTGTTTCCTCTGAAGACTGATGTTTCCCGACAGCACCTGAATGCACCGTCCTGAGTTCATCTTCAGACTAAAATGTTGCATAAATAAAGTCATTTAAAGGACCAGTCCTCAGCTTTACTGATGATGATGATGATGATGATGATGATGAAGGTGAGGGGGGTCAGGACTGAACCAGCTCCAGTTTGGTTTCTGAAGACGACGGCGCTTCGACGATTTCTCCGGACATGAATGCCTCCTGAAACAAACAGAAAACATCACTGAAGACTTCCTGCCAGGGTCTCTTGTTTTGAAGGAGGACTTCCTGTAGCTTGGTGACGTCATCACATCCCTCCTGCCCCTGAGACGTTTACTGACCTGATCGTAGATGACTTTAACGATGAGCGAGCAGCTCGGACAAGTCGCCACGTCATCGCCGTTCTCCAGATCCTCCTGTAAACAACAACAAGAGTCACAAACAAGAGTCACAGCTCACGACACGCTTCATGAATCTTTGAAAACTGAACCAAACTCCAGTCAAAAAATAACATATTATACGTCCTCATCTTCCAACAAGCCTTAAACAAGATAAGAGACATCACTGTGAAATATCACAAATACATTAAACAGTGAGTGATGAGGAGGAGGTGCTCTGTGCGCCGAGTTCACACGAACATCTCAAACATTCGTGAAACATGTAAAACATGTCTCACAGCCCTGTATAAAAGTCACTGGGAAGGTATGACTTAAAATATATGATTCTTAATAGGAGTTTGGTGTGAAGTTCTTTTCCAGGACAAACATCATGAAGATGAATAATCACGGCCCTTAATCGATCACTAAAAATCATAAAACGTCGACTGTTAGAAAACAACACTGGCTGTCTTCGACCATAAAGTGGAGAAAGAAGGAACCAAACTCCATTCACAAACTGACACATTCTACACCTCTGTCTTCATGTCTTTTCTGGCAACTTTCTTGTGGGTATGACTTGATAGCTTTTATATATCAATACAAATTATCACTAAATCTCTGCCGAATTCATTATAACTGATCAACTACTAGTAAAAGGCGATTAAATGTTAGTTTTACACGTAAGAATAGTCACTGAGGCGGAATAACCTTAAAGTGAGCGGATTTTATAAGAAGTTTGGTGTGAGGTAACGTTACAACACAAGCCTGAAGTTAGCTGTTAGCCGTTAGCGTTCGGGTTACTTACTTTGGTTATGGCGAACTTGTCTCCGCAGGGACACGGGAAATAATACGTATCGGTTTCGTCGTCATACTCAAAGTCCTCGATCTCGATTTCGTCGTGAAACACCGACATGTTGTCCGAAAACCGGCCGCAGGAACCTGCGCCGCCGTCAGCTGCTCATCTGTGTGGAAGCGTGAGCGGCGGCGCGGTGTGATGACGTAGTGGGCCGTGGTCTCAGGAGTCTGACGCAATATTTCAGACGTTAAAATGGCAGGAAGTGTTAGAGCTCAGTTTCCGGAGTTAGAGGACTGAAGACAGGTGGAAGAGTTTAGACCTGATGGAAGAATGGATCCAGTGATAAGACTAGAAACAGAAATAAGAAAGGCCCAAGCAAACAAAGAATCAGTTATTGCGGTGTTTTTCGATATTGAAAAGGCATATGATATGATGTGGAAGGAAGGCCTGCATCCATTACTGTTCAGTTTAAGCGTTAATGATGTGTTCTCAAAACTTCCTGTAGACATAGGCAGGTCTCTGTTTGCCGATGATGGAGCTCTGTGGAAAAGAGGCAGAAATATTGAGCATGTCATTGGAAAACTTCAAGCAGCAATCAATCAAGTGACTGATTGGGGATATGACTGGGGATGCAAGTTTTCAACTGCAAAAAACCCAAACTGTGTTCTTTACCAGGAAGAGAATCAGAGAGGATGTCAGGTTAAGAGTGTAAAGGAAAGAGTTGGAAAGGGTGCCACAATTTAAATTCCTTGGTGTAGTGTTAGATGAACGCCTGACATGGTCAGGCCGTGTCACCAGGATAGAGGAAAAGTGTAAAAAAGTCATAAATGTGATGCGTTGTGTGGCTGGAAGAGAATGGGGAGCAAGTTGCAGAGCACTCCACAGGTTGTATGTTGCATTAATACGATCCGTGCTGGATTATGGTTGTGTGGCATATGGGTCAGCAGCTAAGAGCCATTTGAAAAAGCTAGATGTCATACAGGCACAAGCTTTACGCATCTGTTGCGGAGCTTTTAAGACATCACCAATTCCTGCCATACAAGTAGAGATGGGTGAAGTGCCTCTGGAGTTAAGGAGGAAACAGCTGATGGCCAATTACTGGGTGAATTTGAAAGGGCATAGAGCTAATCACCCAGCAAGAGAGGTACTACAGGACAGCTGGGAGAATGAGAAGAGCACCAGGGAGCATTTTGCAAAAGTTGGTAATAAAATATCGAAAGAACTGTCTGTTGAAGGACTACAGATAAGCCCACCAGTGGTCTACCCAGCAGAGGCTCCATGGAGACTAGTGCGTCCGAGAGTTGACATGTCTCTGCTGGAAATTACAAGGACAGGGAAGAAAACAGTTGATTTACTGAGTGCATTTAGCCACTCGATAAATCAAGAATATCAAGACTTTGTGCAGGTGTACACGGACGGGGCAAAAAATCCAGACACAGGTGTAACAGGATTCGGGGTGGCGGTACCAGGAAAAGGAGTAGGTATTTATAGAAGAACAGGTGATGGACTAGGGGTGTACACAGCAGAGATGGTGGCGGTGTTGGTGGCATTAAAATGGGTGGAAATAACAGCACAAAAGAAGACGGTAATATGCTCAGATTCTGCATCAGTTCTTGAAAGTATCACATCATTTCACTCCAACAGCAGGCAGGACATTCTATATCAGGATCTGCACACAGTCACAAGAATACACAGAAAGGGGAGGCAGGTAACATTTTTTTGGGTGCCAGCACATGAAGGGCTGCAAGGGAATGAGAAGGCAGACAAGTTGGCAAAAAGGGCACTGAGAGCAAATAGGGTTGAAATGCAAGTAAGCATTAGTAAGGCAGAAATGAAAAGTGTAATTAAGGGAAAAATTAATCAGAAATGGCAGAGCATGTGGGACAGAGAGAGCAGAGGAAGACACCTGTATCAAATTCAACAAAATGTTAGACCTTCAAGGATTGCTGGCAAAGGCAGGAGAGAGGAGATTGTGATAACAAGACTAAGGATCAGACACAGTGCCTTAAACAAAATGTTAAAAATAATAGGGAAGCATAACTCTGGTTTGTGTGAGGAGTGTCAGGAGGAGGAATCAGTAGAGCATGTAATTCTGAGGTGCAGGAGGTATGAAACACAGAGGGAGATGATGAGGAGGGGGCTGGTGGATGCAGGAGTAAAGGAAATATCACTAAAAGGATTGTTGGACATGAGTGACAGGTCTCAGCAAAGGATGCTATTAGAATTTTTAAGGAGTACGGGGTTGTTTAATAGGATTTGAGGAGTCAAGATGAGGAGTGAGAGTCAGTGAAGTAGGTTTGTTGTATAGGTGTGTATGCTTGTATATGGGTTGAGCAGAGCCAAAAATCCGTAATGATAGGGGGCGGTAATGCACCAAAGTGATGGATGCCAACTGCCGTAAAATCCGAAGAAGAAGAAGAAGAAGAAGAAGAAGAAGAAGACCTGATGGAGACACAGAGGCAGTTTGTCCCTCTGTCCTCTCAGCTGCTAACAAACACTGGAAGTTAAATTACATTTAAAACGTTTAATACATTGAAACACAAATAATAAACTGAGAGAAACAAACTGAACAACATTTAATCTCTGCAGCTCTGTTTGTACTTCCTGCTGATGTCCACCAGAGGCCGCCATGGCACCGGAAACCAGCAACCGACAGGTGAGACTAATGATTGATTATCAAAACATCATTCAT